AGAATTGACAACACTCCGCGAGAATTGGAATAAAAGAGAAATTTATGAACTAGCAACAGAATACGTTTATGCCACGGTATGTTTGTATAATTATATATAGCCAAAGATAGTAGATTGGTTCAATTATAATTCATGTTTTAGCAAGTTCAATGTGATTTAATTGTGAAACTTCTATGTCGTCAAGCCAGATTTGACCAAAATAAATCGTTTTCTCTATGGTAACCCATCATTTTCCACCGTCTGTTACTGAATCATAGCAGAATGCACTACGTCATTTTCTGAATAACTTTTGAGAGAATAAACATAAAGATATGCGATTTTCGACATTTGATACTTAAGCTGAGAGACAAACTAATGGAGAAAGTCAAGTTCTATTCGCCACCTGCAGTGCGTGTAGTTTCTGAACTTTTAAAATACTAGAATACTAAGCAGCAATAGATGTAGAGAGAATACGGTCGCAGGTAGCAAAAGTAGAAGGTTTTCATTTTTCATCGCAATAAGAAATTTTGTTCTGGAGTTTTTCAGTGAACCGCACGCACCTATGGGGAAAATTTTCTTCATACACCGTCTTTCTCTAGATCCGTTATCGTTATCATGAGAAGTTCTTTCACATAAAACTTCTAGTCTTTCTACGTCAGTTTCTAAACCAAAGTATCTCAGCTTAAGTACTAAAATGTCGAAAACCGTATATCTTTATGTTTATTCTCTCAAAAGTTATTCAGAAAATGGAGAAAGAATTTGTCTTATTTTATTCAGTCAACCATATCCGGATAAAACATTAGAACCATTATTAGTACTAATGGAAAAACTTTATTTGGCAATGATTGAACTTGGCTTTCATCCAACTGATGGCAAGTATCATGTTAATTGAAACAAAGAATTTCAATAAATTTGTGTATATTTGTATTAGAATTTCGACGCACATTTCTCACTGTTGGCTATCGTACTATGCCATTTGATCGTTTTGTATTTTACATTGATTCAGATATATTCCAACTAACAGAAGAATTCGTTATGAGAATAATTAACGGTAGATGTTTCATATTCTGAATTGAATGCAATAAATTAATCACTGCTATTCTCTTTCCTTAGAACTTGATGATGTATCTTATATTAGTGTGAAAGAACAGTTAATTCTACTATTGCCACCGGTAAGTCAGTAGTAATCAAAGTTATTTTTATTCTTTGAGCTTGTCATCAATTTTATTTCTAAATTTGAACTGCGTAGCTATTAAAATTATGATAATTCTTCTCAAGTACGTTGACTATGCTGTGCTGTGCATAATATTTCAGTTCTTTCATTTGGTTAAAAATCCAGTTGTACTTTGTATATTATTACATTGAAAATATGATAGAATTCATCAATTTCTGAATAAGTTCGCCGAGTATTCACAATTTGAGATAATCGGATGTTTATTTTTTACAGGGATAGATAAGTGTCTTCTGAGATTAGAATTGAGAAAAAACTAGTTATTTGATAATTGTGGCATATTTCTGAAGTAATTAAAGATGTGTGTCAAAATAATGTGGTTGATGTCCATTTTGTCAATTGATGCTATATTTGTTCTCTTCAATTTGGTTTTTCATTGTAATAACTTGCTTATTTGTGATAAATGTATGCGATTACGAAGAGTGCAGAACTGTTGATCTAATATGTCAAAACCAACGTACTTATTTCATTGAAGTGTATGTAATATATTCTGTTGATTCATTTTAGGATTCACACATAAAAATGTTTAGTTCATTGCATAGTTTTAAGGGGAAGCAACAAACGGCTCAATTACTTGTAAACAGACGTTCGTCTATCGGTAGGTAGAACATAAAATAAAGATTAACTTTAAGTTAAAACTCAAAAATCATCCTTATTTTCTTGTCTTGTTGTAGTAGACCTAAAGTTACGATCAGACTCATCAAAAAACTCTTACCAAAGTGAAAATGATCATGGTTAGACATCAATTTTACTTTGTAATTAAAAACTTTATGTCCACTATTTTTCTTTTTGAAGATGAGGATATTGGAAGGGACTTAATTGGTCAAGCAACATCGGCTTTTTTACAGGATTTTCGTCGAAAAGGTGAAAAAATAAGAAATCTTTATTTCGGGATCTCTTTTATCAATCAGGATCTTTTTTATTGTTTTTTACAGGTGCAAATAACGATGAAATCTTGAAAATAAGAGGCGGAATATTGAGTGATTGAACACTTAACAATTTTTGTTCTGAAACTATATTTGAATATGAAAATAAAACAGCAAACTTTAGTCAAGCTTTTTGTGTCATATTTTTGCTTTTAATTATATATAACTTTTTTAGTGAGTTTATGTTTATACATTACTATCGATAATCAATTGAATTATAAATTTATTGAATGATATTAATAAAATCTTCAAATATTTTCTATGATGTTTTGACTATGCTTTTTTGTATAAAAGACTCATAAATGCTTGTTTTACCTTTTAAAACATCGAAATAAAATTATACATAGTCTAACTACTACTACTATTTCTGATTCGGTTTAGAAAACTTTATGATCATTTCATTTTTTTATCTTCTTTTGTTATTCAGATCAAAATGGTGCTCTTAAGTATATTAAAAAAACTTCGTCGAAAAGAGAAGGAGATGCGTTTATTATTAGTCGGTTTAGATAATGCTGGAAAATCGACAATATTAAAGCGCATTAACGACGAAGAAATTGATTCTGTATCACCTACATTAGGTTTTAACATAAAAACATTTGTGTATGACAATTATACATTGAATGTTTGGGATGTTGGTATGGTCTAACTTACGAATCTTCTCACTCATTTAAATACCTTTTTTTCCCATTTAGGTGGTCAGAAATCATTAAGATCGTATTGGCGAAATTATTTTGAAGAAACAGAAGGCATCATATGGGTGGTAGATAGTGTTGATAAAATACGTTTAGATGAATGTCGACAAGAATTACAAGATATATTGAAAGAGGAACGTTTAATGGGCTCAAGTCTATTAGTATTTGCTAATAAACAAGATTTACCGGGAGCATTAAATATTACAGAGATAAAACAAGCATTAGAGTTAAATTTAATTAATAAACATCACTGGAATATTGTACCGTGTAGTGCCGTAACAGGACAAAATTTAGTTCAAGGAATTGATTGGCTCGTCAATGATGTTTCAAAGAGAGTGTTTGATCCGGATTAAACTATAAATAGATATACATAAATTTGTATTTTTTTATTTCGAGATTTAACTTTTAAAAAAAATATACTATCAATATAGCAAGAGTATCTTTTAATTTAGTTTAGTTTTACAACCGCTGACAAGTTAAGAGTAGACATGGGCGGGACTGTGACAGGGATCGAGACCAGAAAAGTTTTCTTACCAAGAACGAGACCGACACTAGAAATAAGATTTCTTTTGACAGTTGCGTAAATCAGCTAAAACTTGACCTGTTCTCTACACTTAAATAGAAACGTTGTAGAAAATCGTCAGGAAGCCTTACAGTTCGATCTTATCTAACTAGGCATGCATCGGTTATTTTACTTATATGATTAGAAGAAAAAACATACGGCTCATCCATTAACGAACAAATAATAGATGACTGTCGATTAGAAAACTTCTGAACTTTCCGACATTAATAGAGTAATTTTTGCGTGTGAGCACAATTGCTTTAAGGGCCTGGACCAAAACCAAGACTATAAAAATCTTCGGGGACCGAAACAACTTTACGAGACTGAGACTGAAAAGCCTTAGTCCCACCCATATCTAGTTATGAGAGACTCAAACAGAACGCATTTCTACGAGAATCAAAAGAAGATACCACGAATGGTTTCGACCTTTCTCAAGGATCTCATCAGGTGGAAAAAGAAAGAATCTGTCTTTGAGGAAGACAGAGAGCCTTAACTACAAGCAGCACCACTCAGTCCACACCGTGTGAGGGTGTTATTATTCCTTGTTCTCGTCGAACAAAGAATAACTTGCACACGATGAGAATGGCGCACAATACCACTGTACATATTTTGTCCCTCTCCGTTAAGTTTTTCGTTTCATTCTACCACAAATGATTCATCTTTTAACATAAACTGTATCTACTGTCTGTTAAAAAAATAAGGCACGTGACTATTTTTTAAATAACTCGAGACCGAAAAGAGATAAAAAGTTGCGGTTTTCACCATTCGAAACAGAAGACTTGAAGGCATGTTTTCATAATCAACATTTTTTCAGAAGAGTATTCTGAAACGGGTTCTCCAGGCGATCTTTGGAAAACTAGGCCGCGTGTAAACGTTGTCAGTAGGATTGTGTTCATTTTTTTCATGGGCTGGCAGCACAGAGGGTCTTCTTCAAAACAGGAGTCAAACAAGATCTTGATTTTCGGCTGCTCGGGCGTTGTATCGCATTCCCTACAAGTCCAAGGACTGGCACCCGGTGAATCTTGGTAGCCTTGAAGACGGTTATGGGTCATCGATCATGCTGAGTCTCGTGACAATATTTATTTTAAGAAAAAATTCCAAAAACCTACTGAAAAGCGAGTTTTACGAAAATTAGGGTGTTCAGCCGGTTTTCACCTAATATTAAAAAATTCACTATTCACTCGAACAACTTTGGAACGTCTTCAAAACGTCAGGATATAATTAATGTTGTCCGCTAAACGTGATTATAAGACCGAAGAAATACGTTTTCCAGAAGCCCTGTTTGCATTCTAGTTTTCGTCAAACACGCTTTTCGGTAGGTTCTTTTAAATTTTTTCTCAAAACAGATATTGCCACGAGACTCAACATGATCGATTATCCATAGTTCAACCGTCTTCAAGGCTATCAATAGTCACCGGGTACCCGTTTCAGAAAACTCTTCTGAAAAAATGTGGTTTATAAAAACATGCCTTCAAGTCTCCTGTTTCGAATGGTGAAAACCGCAACTTTTTATCTCTTTTCGTTCTCGAGTTATTTAAAAAATAGTCACGTGCCGTATTTTTTTTAACAGACAGTAGTAACGAAATCATTCAGAGTCTAACATTTCAGGAATGACACCGATGACTAAATCGATATTTCGCTCAATTCGATTTTTACAACCGAAACACAGGTATTTGGAGGTTTTATTATAAAAAACAGGCTATTGGTTTTCTTTTCCACTTTCAGTTTACCATCATCACCAACTTCAGCGATGAAAAGTTTGACAGCAGCCGATCTATTTTTAATGTCTGATCAACAAAAGTCTTTACCTGTATGTAGACAGATTTTAAGCAGTTCGTTTCGTAAAAAAGTCCAACTTTTTGTTTGATAGCTTCTAAACTGTGTTATTAAAGAATTGACAACACTCCGCGAGAATTGGAATAATTGGAATATTGGAATAATAAGAGAAATTTACGAACTAATTTCGATGAAAGGTTGGTGCTCTAATATATCCGGTTCGATTATACTCTAATGATGAATCGATCGGTATGTAACAAGTCTAATTTTACTTTTATGTTTTTCGACTTATTTTAAGCCCAAAAGCAGACGTCTACCACGCACAGGAATTCTCATTCACTACTTCTGTTATGGCAAACATCTCTGCCTAGGAGTTGACAGAGCTGGATTTTTGAATTCATCATTTACTAATTTCTGGCGCTTAATAGAGCTTTAAAATCCGAAAAATCCTTGGAAGGTTTCTCAGAAATCCTCATTTCTATAAAAAATAGACGCATAATTTAAAAATCGAACTCTGTCAACTTCTAGCTATAATTGTTATCTACAAATCAAAAACAAAGAAAAACTTCGTCCGATGTATCGTTACCGAGAATTCCTGTGCGTGGCGAAAGCCCTGAAGCTAAAAAATAGGCGTAAGGAAAACGCAGAATAAGTTTTGATTCTGTTAACCGCATTTTACTTAAAAACTGTTTGAGCGTTAAATAATTTGTTGATATTTTGCTATGGGTTATCGGCCATGGCGAATCTAATGAATATGTCCGCGGCCATGTGCAGCACATGTGTACGCTTATGCAATACAAGTGCAAAAAAGCCATTTTTTGTTCTATAGGGCATCTGGAAAACTCGCTCAAAACCTATGAAAAACCTATCCTATCGACACAAAAGTTATGCCATTAGAAAGTAGCCACTTTGGGCTATCCAACCATGTGCTTTTCTCAAAATCAATAGTTTGACGAAAATCGGCATTTCTGACCCGAGGGGAAGGAGCCTTAATGTTATCATAAATTTTTTAACGTCCATGGACAAGAAGTGAAGTGTTTGTAAGCATAGTGTTTTATCAAACTCATCACCAAAACTTAATTAAATTCTTCATCAAAGTACACCGTTAGACAGTTCGAGCGTTTCTCTACAACAATATGTCAGAGTTATAGATTAAATATGTAGAAATAAAAATAGAAAAAGACCTTTTTTCTTCGAAGATGTCGCCAAAACCCATGCGTTTATGTCGAGAGGTCTGTATTTTAGACTTAAAAAGATTGTCTTACCATGAATCTTTATAGCGAGTCATGGTACGACTTTGAGGTTCCAGCACGATTGCTATAGAAAAAATGGTCGCAAATTAGGAAAAATAAGAGTTTGTTGCGTCTTTGTCACGGCTTTTTAGCGACTTCAACTGCGTCGAAGTTTACAGGGATGTAATGCAGTCAGCCAAGAAATTTGATCTGGGAAGATGGGTCGAAACTCTGCTATCGAAGCGAAATTCTGTCACGTTGTTTTTTTCTACTTTGTACTCTTTATATACGTTTTGAACTTGATGATGAATGAAAATACATTCAGAATTGGTACTTCTACAGATCGATCACACACTCACACTCACACTCCACACACACCACAGTAGGGGGTGTGATCGATCTGTAGAAGAACCTCAGAATTCGTCACCGTCGTTGATTGTTGAATGAACTTTACCAAACATTTTGAAACGTTCCCGCACTTACGAGCAGAGGTCTCAGATGTCCCTTATCGAGAGGGATAGTTCCTTATATGCGTGAATTTTGTCCCAAAGGTATAAAGTAACACTAAAATAGCTTAGGCTATAATTTTCTCTATAGTTATAGCTTTTTTTCCTCTCTTTATTGGTCAACGACGTCAACTACTAAAATATGTTAGATAAGCCATCATTTTATCAGTACTCTTCAATAGAACGTGTACATACAAAGAAAATGAACTAAAGGTTCCGAAAACTTGAGTATGAAAAGTATAAAATAATACTTTTAGAATAAAAACCGCTTACTCAAATCCAAATTTAAAACTATAGTCATTTCTTTTGTTTGCGTTGTACTGACCCTCCCGAACTAGAGAAATTATTCGTTTAGTTCTTAGATTTTAATTCTGTTTCTCAAAGATTTTCCCCTATAGAGGGCAGAATTTTCGATGAACAGTAGTCATTCATTGTGAATAAAGATAGCAGTAGCGTTCCAGAATGTTCAAGTCCTCTCCGTCATAGCCAGAAAGGCTCGTTTTGTATTACGGTAAAAAATGTGACATATTCGGTTATTTCCTGCTAGAGAATGCCATAAGAAAAACATTGCTTGTAATGATATGAATATGGTCACAATAAGAATGTGACTTGGGTTATATTAAGAACGTTGTATGAGGATTGCTATGAGCAAGGATAGTTAACAGTGCAGATAATTTTCATTTTATTTAGTCGAATTACTAATGGAATAGAAAAGTGAAGAAATTGTTTTAGGTGTCATAGAGGAGTCAGATTTTTTTGTATGTCTATTATGAAAAATCCATCTTTTTGTTCATAATATACCTGAAAAGATGTGACTACTTTTTGTTGACAATACGTTAAATTTTATTCTTTTTTTTATATTTTAGATAAGAAAAAAACTATTTTCTTTTTTTCGTTATGTATTCAGACGATGAATTAGTGGGCGGTGGTTACTCGTCGAATGAAGATGAGTTATTATGGTTTGATACAAAACCAAAAAACAATAATAATAATCATCTCAAACATTTCTTTTCAAATGGGAAAAAAACAGCAGAACATTTAAGTAATACGATTTAATCTAAACAAACTTGGATGAAGACATTTTTTCTTATGGCTTTTTTAGATACTACGATCAATCATAGTTCAGAAAATATTCGACTGTAAATGAAAAGTCCTATGAATTATAACAATCCAAAAGCCGATTCATATGTATCTATTTAGATTTCGTGAATATAGTTCTGTGTCCGATGAAATTTATTCATTATTTATACAAGAGAAAACTTCATCAAAATGGTCGGATTTATTTTTTTCTCTATTATCATCAGCAAATATAAAATCTCATTCACCCTATCACATTTTATATTTATTTATTGACAATTGTAAAGGAAAACGTCATAAAATTATTTTACCATTAATTGAACAATTTGAACATTGGGCAACTAAGAATAATGTTAGTTCGATTGATCTAGATGATAAAATAAAATATGAAATTTTAATATTGTGTCGTCATTTATCTTTAAATCAGTTTGAACCTATTATTAATGTATTTGATTTGAAAAATAAGATGAACAACGAATTAAACATCAAGTTTATTGATGAACAATTGTCAAAACATGAGAATATATTTGCTACACAAATGACAAAATTATTACAATTAACAGATGCAATTCAATTTGAAAAGGTAAAAATTGCGTAATGTATCTTACTTCTAAGGTGATTAGATATAAATACCTTCTTGTTGAATCAAAAATGTTAAAATGATCTAATATAAGTTCGAATGGTCTACTTTAATTTAAAATCGATCAATTTTTGAAAAAAATTATTGATCACTGAGACAAACGCCTTTTATTATGTAGTTGTTGTTATTTTTTTGTTGAAAAATTATTCAGACCATCTCACAAAAATTCGAACAGAAAACTGAAATTTAGGATAACACTCTTATCTTTTTCGTCATTCATTTCAATGTCTAGTCTAAACGAAATACTTTCTTTCTTTAAAGATTCCAAATCTTTATTTATGTGCCATGTTTCCTATTATACTACCATTATTAAGATAAAAGATCTTTAACTACTTTTTGTTCTATTTTCTTCTATAATAGATTGTTGTTCCATTATTATTTCGATCACAGTGGGAAACTGTACGTTATTATGTTGGCGATGATAAAGTATTACAAAGAAAACTATTGACATTGTTGGATGACATGATCAGTACGAATAGGTATTAAAATAGACTGTACTTTTGTTCTTGTATATTTGATTTTTGTTTTTTTTATTTGTTCTAATTTATAGAGCAGACGCTCGTCAATATCTAATATATGCTCCAGGAGCAATGATTGATCATTCAACATTAAAACGTTTTGCACGAAAATTATTAAAACAATATGATTTTGATTTGAATGACTTTAAAAATTTAGCTAATCAAGAAAAAATGACATTTTTGAAAACATTAATGGTTCGAAAATATTTAGAGAAAACAACAAATAATGATGAGTGGAATGAACAAGTTAAGGTGCATAGCAATTACTTATTTTATTAGACTAGTTTCTTATATGCAAGGACGTATTTTGTAAGATTATCTTAATAATTTTCTTACAAAAAAAATCACGAGTTAGAAACTTAGTTACAGAGCAGCTCGTTGTGTTTGTTACCCTAGACGACAATCCCCTCAAAGTTAAACTATTTGTATTTTGTATTTCTAAGTTGAGCCAGTTTTCGCTAAAATTTGAACGAACAATGTCTCTAGTAGCAATGCATAATGTAAGACCCTCTTCAGATATGAACATGCAATAAACCAACAACAAGATTCCTCGAGGAATCCGTGTCTGGCACGCTTTACAGAGATTTTAGAGAAGTTCCTAAGAATTTTTTGTGTGAATGCAACAATCCTTGTTCGAACTTCATCGACAATGTGTCTTGGTAGCAATAAAAGATCGTGTTCGAATTCTGAATTCGGTTATTTTTTAAGTAAATAGTTCAATATATGCACCTTTTGTTTAGACATTTATCGGTGATAATCATGATTTACAAGTGAAATTTATTGATTTATTAGTGGATTATGCTGATATAGATTTAGCTGGGGAATATGCCTTGTTCTATGGTTTAGAAGATCACGATCTTCCTGAACAAGTAAGTAGTGTTCTCTAAATCCTTTCATTTTAACGTGTTTTTCTACTGCACTTTAGGTAGCTGAATTTCGAACAGAGCTGCTTTGCTACAGTTCATCTGAAGAAAACTTAACCGAACGAGTAAACAATAAACCACTAAAAAATTCTTGTTATACAAATAATAAAAATGAGCTCGATCTTATTATTTATCGACCAAGTTTATTGGCAAATATCGATTATATTGAATTAGAAACACATCTGAATGAATGTTTATCTAAACTTCACGTAATCGCTTATTAATTTTACAATTTTTTGTGAGTTTATTGTTCTTTTTCTTGCAGTCAATGAATAATGAACATGGCAAATTATCACTAATTGGCTTTGATTGTGAAACATTTGTTGATCCTACAAAACAAGCGCTTGACAGACAAATTGTATCTACAATACAATTGGCAATATCCGATGAGCAAATATATGTTTTAGATATGCTTGCATTAAAATATCAGTTAGACACAGATGAAAAAATGATAAATTTCTCTAATGCATTATTTTGTTCCGAGTTTCACGGTCTGCTGAGTACGTATTTTCCGCTGGTGAAACGTTTGAATCGATCAAGCTATGTTTTAATGTGTTTATATGTTATCATGTTTAGCCTATAATTATGTTGGTGATTCATCATTTTTATTAGACAATTATCCTGCCATGGCACAAGGAATAATCCACGCCTCTTCGGTTATTGATCTACATCTTGTTCAAAAATATGTATGCTTTTTTTCTATAAATTTTTGATTTTTGCAACTAAATATGCAATTATACGTACGTGATATTTATCTAGATATTAGAAAAGTATCCTGACATATTTACATTTCACTCAACAAATGGTGAAAACTCACGTGGTCTAAGTGAACTTGTTCGATTATGTTTTGGTAAAAGCTTGGATAAATTTATGCAACAATCAGATTGGAGAAAAAGACCGTTAAAAGAAGCACAATTAACTTATGCTGGTAAATATAAAGTTGTTTCAATAATCATTCACAGTAGCTTTTTTCGTGTAAAAACCGTCTCCATTTGAGAGAAAACTACTTATCTTAGAACAACTATCGATACTTTACCGCCTGTTCAGTTGAAAGTACATAGAAAATGGTAACAGAGAAGAAATTCAACAATCGCCTATGTTAATTTGTAGATTTCGGTATTTTGCTCAGTTTAAAACAAACATGAGATCTGAAGCCAGCATTAAGGAAAGTGTTAAAACATCGAATTAACGTTTTTGACCAAGAGTACAAGAAGAATATTTCTACTAAGCGAACATGTTTACTTAATGTTTTTAATAAATTGAGTATGATGCTAACAGTTGATTGTGTTTTTTTTATTTCTTAGCATTGGACGCAAGTTGCCTTGTCGATATAGCCAAATTTATTGAACAACGAACTAACGAATTGGGTATTATTTGGGATTGGAATAATTTTAAAGGTTATAAATTTTCAGACAAAGCACTTAAAAAACGAACACGTAAATTATAAAGTTTATCAGTATTTGCTCTTTCTATTTCTACTACAATTGTACAATGCATTGTCATTGGGATGTCTATTTTTTATACATCTAGTCAGATTAAAAGATAATGCATTTGCCAACTTTTTTTCTTTCGTTGCATACGTTCTTCTAGATGTTATGTTAATCTAGAAGAAGAACGAACGCATTATGATTAAAAATGTTTATTTATTTTTCTTGTCTTTCACTACAGATTATTTCTTTCAGACATGACTGCTGTCTAAAACTTTGCATTCTATGTTTACACCTTTTCTTTGTTTTTTTCAACAATAAAGTACATAGCAGGATTGATGTTTGTTTTTTACAGCTGTTTTTAAAGTTCAATTTTTTATGCATTCAATATTGTATAGAAAACGTATGAGCAGGATTCTCTTTCCTATCGTATTTATTTACGAACTGTCGATAAATTTGATTTGAATGACAAAAATACGTTTCATTTACTAGAAGTATTGAACTACGCACTGTTTCTGCTAAAAGTCAAATAATTATTACAAAGCATACAAAAGATACGATCCATTTATCTGTTTTATATATGGATTCTTTCAATCACCGTATGATACTTTAATAGTTAAACATTATTCTAATAAACGATTGTATATCTTTAATAACATCATTACAAAGATCGTTACCATTTTGACTATTCAAATAATGGGCTCTGTCAACTTCTAGTCACGTGTGTTAGCGTCACTTTGACATCAGCTCGAGGTTTCTAGAGTATCTATCTGGATGAAAAATTTTGGAAAATGTGAAAACATTCCATTTTGAAAGTGTGATTATAAATCTTGTTTGCTAATAATAGAATATTGACGTTTTTCTACTTGATAGTCGTATTTGAATCGATGAATATGTGTAGGTATAAACGTTGTTTAGATAAAAATGTTAGTTATCGTCTCTCTATTCTTTTTTTGCTTCTTTTCATCGACTAAAATGATAGTGAAATCGACAAAAAAGACTGGTAGCTTTTAAATTTCATATATATATATTTTCAATAAAAAACATTAAAACAATTAACAAACATTAAAAACAAGAGAATAGTGAAAAAAGTGTTGAAATCACGTTTTCGGTCGAGTTATGTAAAATGGCCGCTACCGCCCTACTTCCTGTCTGACGAACATTTAAGTATGACAAAACTAGGAAATGACTTTTAATATGGCAAGGAAGAAGATATAATTTGATAGACAATCATATAAAAAGGAAATATATGGACGAGTTACTAAATTTTGCTGCTTTATTAGACAAAAAATATGATAGTGTATTCTAAAGGAAGAAAAACATAACTACATATCAAGTATTTAGTCGAGAAGACAATGTTATATTTTATTTTTAAGTTTAGATCTACGAAGGATCGAAAACACTTAGTTTTAGTCTAGGTTTTTCTAGTCTATTTTGAAATAATGATTCTAGACAGTAAAAGTGATTGATTGTTCGATTTAAACAATATGACCATTATATATAGTCACTATTTTTTCTCTCTTCTATTCAATTGACTATAACGTACAAATTCTATTCAAATGTACATTGTCACAGCTGTTAGTTTACTATTTATTGTGATGTTGTTCATTTCATACTATATACATTCTTCTAGAATATGATTATTGTCTCTGATTTTGATATTTATTATTAATGCAATGCTTGAGATTTTGTTATGACTATTTTCAATGGAAAAAAATTTTAGTTCGTTCAACACATTTAGTTTTAGTATCTTTTGTTATATCAGTTCTTATTTTTCAACCATCAGGTATAATTATTAACTTTTTTAGAATGAAAGATAACATAATTTACTTCATTCATTTTTTGACATTTAGAACTCAATTATGCTATACATAGTTCAAATTATATCTACTGTTTACTATACGGATTTTTAGTTTATATATCATTATTTTTCTATTTTCTAACGTGTTATATTGATCCAGGATACGTGCCCTATAATAAAGTATGAAAATATGTTATTCATTCAGAGTATATATTTTACTATTATTTTTAATTTAGTTTCACAATACTCTTGTCACATCTGATAGTGAAGATGATGAAGTTTACATCGAAAATGGTGTTCAATCAACATCAACATCAACAAATTGTGTACCAATGAGAAAATGTTTACATTGTAATATACAAGTAAATTAATAAATGTTCTAATCTAATATTGGATTATTTTGTCGTTGTTTTTTATTTAGCAACCATTGAGAAGTCATCATTGTGATTATTGTAATAGATGCGTTAGAAAATATGACCATCATGTAGGAATAACATTGAAGTTATAAACATTTTGTTGACTGTTTTTGTTTTAGTGTCCCTATTTAGAAACATGCATTGGTGAACGTAATCATCGATTTTTCTGGTTTTTCTTATTGACAACAGATATTCTGATTGTATGGTCACTACTCATATGCGGGTAAGAAAAATCACTTTTGTCACATGTTGTTTGAGCAATAATAAACGTACAACATTTTAAATATAGTTGAAGTTGATGATCGATCATTTTACAGTTTAATTTTTCCCCTACATTCTTTATCTAATATTCTGTGTTTTACATGCAATGACTTCTACACAAAAAGGATAAAAAACATGAAGACACTCAAGGACACTTACAGAAAGCACACAAACATTCACAGACAACTACACGGATATCCAAATCACAGATACTCATACAAATGAGTTTGCACAGATACCTACTAAATTACACAGACCGTCGAATCAATCTGCAGACCCCCACGGATAGACACAGACAGCCATTTGAGACCTGCAGACACTAAGGGCAATTATAGGCACCATATAGACAATTAGAAAAAGAAAAGGAAAGAAATATTTGCTAACAGTCATCACTTCTAGAAAACAAAAAGACTATCGAGATGGGAATTATTAAATGAAGAAAGTTCGCTAAAGACGCTTTTTAGTCTATTTTATTTTCATGTATATTTTCTATGTACTATCTTTCAAACATGTTAGTTATAGTCAGCAATAAAAGTCATATAACATTTGATCAACTAATTACTTTTTCCCAAAAAGCGATTTAAGATTTTATGTCTACACGCTTCTGCATCAAATGATGCAAGCAAATTAATAAACATAATGGTTTAGTGTGAAAAAAAAATTGTGGAATCAGCCACATTTGAGAAATCGCTATATGAACACTGAATACGAAGAATAATTTTCTCTCATGATAAAGAAAGAAGTTAGTTACATGCCAATTTTTCTCCCATAAATGAACTTTGTAGTTCATTGTTCAGTTATTTATACCCTTAGGATTTCTTTTAGTCGATCATTTATTTATTATGATTACTGGCAAATGTGGTTACATAAAAATGCGTTGCGTTTATTTGCCATGCATATTCTAATCATATCATTATTGGCTGTGACAATATTATTTTTAATTCATTCATTTTTTATGTGTACTAATACGACAACGTGTGAGCTATCTATTTGCTGCATGATCATTTTTTTAAATCAAATCGGCAGATATGTCTCTACTATAAGTGATTACCCCTGCTTTAGAGAAGCATTTTTCAATAATCTGGATAAGATTCTTATCCGAATCTTATGAAATTTCTCAACAAGATTATGGGGCAAAATAGATAGAATTCTGTAAAAGACTTATAAAAATCTTTCAGAATATAAGCGTTACTCAAGAATTTAATAAGAATCTGATTAAAATTACCAAATCATTCGTATGTATAGTTTTATTCAACTTTTACTTAAGCCTTACAAAATTCTTCTTCACCCAGATTAATCAATCCTACAAAAGAGAATCTATCGGATCCTTTGAATTCCTGTATGAGACTCCTACGTTAGATTTTGTCAGAATCCTATTGAGAGATCTGTTTTGGATTTTACAAGTAAAAAATGATTAAAGTGTTTTTCAACAATACATTCTCTCTTGTGTCTATAACTTGCCATTGAATTAATATGAGTAACTGTACAAGAAGCTCTTTTATCGTTTGATTGTTTCGAGTGCTTTATCAAGATAGGTAGGAAAAGGATTCTGATGTATATTAGTAGTATTCGACCTGCTGTATCCTCTCCTACTTGGAGAATCCGATGCCTAATGCCAGCTTTATAGAAAAAAACAGATCGAAAGTGTTTGACTTTGCAAAAGATCAGTTTGAAAAAGCGGAATAAATGTAGACATACGCGATATTCTGCTTTCTATCATCTTCGTGTGTAATTTAATTTTTTTGAATTTACTTCTCTTCGTACAGTAGACTTGAAGAAGGATATTCAGTCATCATAGAAAAATAGTAGACAAAAATTGAACAGTCTTCATAAAACAGTAAATCATATCCGGTCTTATTGACTAACCTTAATGGATAAAAATTTTGTAAGATTCAGGTAAGAGTTGAATAAGACGCTGATAAGAATAACACACGAATGATTTGGATTGTGATATACGATTACGATTACTACTAATATCATCGAAATTAACATCGAAACAATACGAGTTGAAGTACTAAAGTAAAGAATCTTATAAGAAGGTAATGATATTGAACAAAAACTATGTGAAAGTTTTTAACATAAATTTATCTCGAATATTTTCAGAAATGATATGGAGTGAAAGTGAAGGCAATGAGAAATAAAGCAATTATGGGAAAAGAATAGGCTATCGGCTGTGATGTTACTGTAGATAACTCTAGAGTGGTTTATGATCGAAATTGAGTATCTCATTTCACCGACTTTTTTAAATTTCTATCTTTGTTAATAATATTTTACGTTACTTTTTAATTATTTTAGGGGAAAAGGTATCTCGTCATCGAATTACATATTTGAAGCATATTACAAAAGAGTATAATCCATTCCATGAAGGTTATTATTCGAATATGTGCACGTTTTTGTGTGAATGCAGAGAAAAACATTGGGATGTTGTCTATAAAAAAAGTTTAGAACATGTTGTTATACAAATGTGATGAATATCTTTTTCTTTCATTAACAGTGATTTTATTTTTATCTAATTGTATCAAGAAAAATAAAATGTGTTTATGTAAAAATCGAAAACTCATACTAAATCAATCGGTCTATTTCCATGGATAAAAATTATGTAAGCAAAAATTTATTGTTAACCTTAATGTGATGATGATAATGGTAGGTCTATGCTACAAATTTCTAATCTGCTTGATTGTGAAAAGGAAAAGAGTTGAATCTAAAGCTATCTGTTTATTTCCGATTTTCTTATAATTTCATTTTCAGTGCTCCTTTAACTCCTACGTCAGCATCATCGGGGCTTCCTATTCGAATGAACTTTGTTAATCTTGGTAGATATTTATAAATAATATTCAATAATCGATTAGATTATTTTAAAGATTTTAAATCTATCTAACAAAACATGATATTTTTTTGATAGATTTCATATAGGCTGTTTTCATTTTGGTCCGCCGAGATTTACATTGACTTCAAACCGCTCAGATCTCACTATGCTGGCTTTGTAGTCCGTGTTGAGTGGGGTAGGAATCCAGGTTTACTTTTAAAAAAAAGTGTGCGAAAAGTGACCGAAACGCAAGAGACGGTTTTAGAAAAAATCCCTCCTAGAAATAGGTCGAGTTTTCTTAAATGAGACTTTATCAAGAAACTCTGACGTAGCCATTCGATAGAGCTTAAAATGTTTTCTAAATAGTATAAGTGCCAAAGTTATAGCTAATTACATAGTCCGGCGGCAAATTTTGCAAAATATGCCCAAAACAGACATTCCATGCATTTTTAGAATGACTATAAATCGTTAAAAAGCACGGAAATTCAAACTTTTCGATACTTAAAAAGTATTCAAACTCATACTCATTTAAATAAAACAAAGCTGACTTTAATATATCCTTTCGTTACCGAGGTATTTGACTTATAAGATTCTGGGGAGAATGAAAATTCCGACTTCTGTCATTCAAAATCAGTATGTTAGAACATAAATAGAAAAAGTTTAGTGAAGATGCTAAGATGTATAGCTTTTGATATTGAATAAGATAAATTTTTTTGAGTATGAATTCACGTAATAAATTTATATTACGCTGTATGTCACATTGTGTTGTTTTAAATGTTCAAGATTGGAAAATGTGATGACAATTACGCATTCTACCGTACGTCATTACATGCCTTTCACTTCATAAATTATGCAAATGAATTCATTGAAAAGTTGAATGAAACTATTAGTTTTATTCATGTGGAATATCTGGACAATGCATTCCTTCTAGAAAAAAGTTTCACTAGCTTGTTTTATGGCTCTATTCATGAATAAAAGTTCACGAAGGACGGACTGTTGGAATGTAAAGATCGAATATCTTAATTTATTTATTATCCACTTTTCTTTTAAAAATGAATCTAATTATTCAAGTTTAAACAATGAATAACTTTTTATCCCTAATGGAATACACTAATTTAGTAATTTTTAGAAACTATCCTTGTCTTTTTATAAAAAGATTCCTTCTACTTTTAGTCACAACACTCTCCGTTCGAAGAAGTTAAAAAGCAAAGGTATGTACTCAATATAGAACCGTGTACTTGGTTCTTCAATTTCAATTCTATATTGTTACAAAACTGTGTTGAATTTATCCATAGCTTAGTGACCTTGAATAACTCTTTTCATGTAGATACACGATGGTAACGTTAAGAGATCTTAATCTGTTTTGTTCGGTCTGATTCGATTCTAAGGCTATTTTGACTGATATACCATCAATTAACAATAATAATAATAATAATAATAATGTATTAGTACTGCACATTTCAATCCAAATAGATCATTTTTTACTAGTGATTAGGGTGAACGATTAGAATTAAAATCTTTCGGTGCATCAATTACAATTTTTGGAAATGAAATCTTTTCTTCTATAATAATGAATCGTCTGAGATAAATTATCGACATATTCTAATTCATTTTTTAATTTAGATGATGACCTTTAATTATTCAAATATTATTTATGTATCCATAATTTGTACTATTTTAATTTGGTTACCAAATGGCACATATTCAGGTTTATCTTCATTACCTACAATCTTGCAAAATCATCGTGTGCAACGCTTATTACAAAAAATACGGGTTTCATACAATGATTTAGATTATTCTAAATATGTGTGTTCAAACGCATGTTATCAATGTTTCGATGATGGTACAACATCAACAGACATTGGAGAACAAGTAAGTTAAAATCATAAATTATTATAATTCAATTTTTTATAGATGTCATCAGCGATACAACAATAGGATCGAGATTACAAGAACCCTATTTTTTGAAAAATGTTCATCTTCTCTTCACAAAAATTCTGGATGATATCAAACTCTCTATCAGTT